TTGTGGTCACTGTCAGGAAATGTATCCTTAATTCAAGGTTGGATCTTTCCTAGATAACTTTCCATCCATTGCTACTTGTCCTGCATCCTATGGTACATTCTATTCCTTCATTTCAGAAGCAGAACATATCAGCTGGTTTTCCATTATGGCTTCTAATAAAATGAATAAATGAAGGGGTTTCCTGTCATGTGTGACTCTTTAGTCATTCTTTTATAACCATATCCAGATCATCAGAGATCATCATTATTATGTTACACGGTTTTATGTGTAGCAATAGCCAAGTTCCATGTCGAGATTAATCTTATAGTAGCTATTACAAAAATGTGGTGATCTAGTTTTCTTGGGAACTAAATTATCTGGGTAGACAGTCATGAGAGGGAGGGAGGGAAGAAGGAAGGAAGGAAGGAAAAGACGTGTATCTTTTCTTTTACGTATACTGAAAGTATTTGCACCAAGACAAATTCCTTGTATGTCCAACCACACTTGGCCAATAAAGAATTCTATTCTATTCTGTTCTATTCTATTCTATTCTGTTCTGTTCTGTTCTGTTCTAAAAGAGAAAAAGAAGAAATGGAGTGATGAAGGGAGGGAGAGGGAATGAAGGGGAGGAAAGGAAGGAGGAAAGGAAGGAAGGAAGGAAATATCTAACATAGATTGCATCTAGTCCCAATGTAAACAGGTGGGTTTTCCTTTCAGCTAAATTAGGTTCAGGAGATGAAGCGTCCATTTCTATAGGTTCAAAATACGCTGTCACTTTTTAATCCGACAAAAGGCAAATGGACCAGCCACCGTTGTGAAATGGCTGATCTCAACTGTACGGAATGTTAGAGCAGGAACACACACCAGTGTTACACCCCATCCGTGTGATGACTACTTCACTGACGAATGAATGACACACACAGGCCAATCTGACCAGCATCCATTCTTCCATCTTTTGCAAGGACATTATTATTATAGAGGGTTTCCTGCTTGAGCAAGGGGTTGGACTAGAAGACCTTCAAAGTCCCTTCCAACTCTGTTATTTTGTCAAATATTAGAGATAAATATTGAGATGTAACAATGCATAGAAGGAATATTTGACCAGGCAATGCAAGAAAAGAGACAAGAATTTCCTCTTTCCTTCCTTCTTTCCTTCCTTCTTTCCTTCCCCTCTTCTTCCTTTCCTTCCTTCTTTCCTTCCTTCCTTCCCATTCTGCTTTCCCTTTTCCCCATCCATCCATCCATTCTCTCATATGCTACTGCATTTCCAAAAATCTAGTTTTTAATCAACCATCAACAAGAAATATTGCCCCTCTAAAGAAAAGCAGAGAGAATATTTACAGAGCTGCCATGGGAAAAGAAATCCCTCCCAACAGTCCCTTGGTCAAACTACTGAAGGATGATCATCTTCTTCTTCTTCTTCTTCTTCTTCTTCTTCTTCTTCTTCTTCTTC